ATGAAAACAATCTAATTTTAATTTAAGCAAACTATTAGTATTAATTCCCCACCCAAATCTGTAGTTTCCAAGTTAAATTTAGATAATTATCAATTCTTTTAAAACTACCCCAGAAAAATGTTACTGTTACCCCCCCATTTAAGCAATAGTGACCCACAACCCCCAAAAATAAAAATTTAACACCATCCCAAACTCTCCATCCCCACCTGTGCCCTATTCTTTCCTTGTGTTTCCCCAGAGCATTTTCTGCTATCTCCTTTGAAGCAAACTGCACGAAGGCCTCCCCTGTGCTTCTCCCCTGGTAGTCCATCGTCAATGTTATCCCATTTGGCACGATTTCCAACCCTTTAACCCAAGGACAAATAACCCCATCAAGGGGAACAGTGTTAAAGGCTGAAACATTCCCATCTGAATCAAATATTTAAAACAAGTCTAAACAAAACAAAACAAAAAACGCTTAGTTCCCCATCACCCCATAATACAAATGGAAGATTTTTTCAAATACTGGATTACATAATTATTTTTGCGACCAGTATCTTTTAAAATTACACTCTAAAAGCCCACCTACATTACATTAAAAAAGCTCAAATCAAATTAACTATGTTTCATATGCTAATTCACGGTTCATTTCATCACACATAATTACTTTCAATTAAGTTTATTGCACATTAGTTAGGTGTTACATATTCTATACATTCTGTATGGAATATTAACTGGAGCAAACTTTAAACTTTATACATTAACGAAGATATCATACTCAAATTAAAAAGTCCCCCAAGCAAATGGGTTTTGCAAATTAAAAACTGAGTAATATAATGTACAATTAAAATACTACTAAACTTTGACTAATACTAGAGGTACCTTGAAAGAACTGAACTATTTCCTCTTTGCTGCAACCAAATGGCAATCCACGAAGTCGTACTGTCCCATCACTAGCGTCATTTGGACCATTATGTTTCATAACCCAATCCATCTCAATACCGTTTGATTTAAATGCTATAAAAAAATAAACAAGCACATAAAGCAGTCAATCAAAATATACTCTTGTCAGAGGTACTGAAGAAACACCTCTCAGTGGTGCACAACAGGAAATGTAACATACAGCTCAGTGACTCCAGTGACAATGCTACACAATACAATGGCACAACACCTTTCTGTTTTCAGGTAGGGAGAAAGATGGAAAAAAGGCAGTGAAACTTGACCCCTCCCATGAAAAAGTACTGAATTTATAAGGAGCAAATATATACTGCCCAATTTTTAAAAAGCTTACATAATTCCTCATAAGTCTTCAAACTCTTCCTATTTCTCAATCCTGCCATTTAACATCAACTCTACCTCTTCTTCATCTCTCAAATTTTCACTTACATTGTCCAGGTTTTATTATTCACTTGAATAGCCCTGCAAAATCTTTAAAACTTAACCACTCAGAATTTTGCACATAGTACCACCATCTACTCAGTGAGAACCAGAGTCAAAAGTACAAGTACTTCTTTGATGCACTATAATTCTGAACATATCAAATTGTTTTTGAAGGGGGAAAAATTCTTATCATTTTTAAAACTAAATCTGGTCCAGACACTCCACAAGGTTTAATGACTAAATTAGGTTGAATTTTAAAATGGAGGTAAAAAAGGCCTTCTGACAGTCATCAGTATTTTTTTTGAAGCCACCCATTTTGGAAGTTATTGAAGATAGTGTTAAAAACCAGTTTACTCACTGCTTTATTTTTTTATGACAAATTTTTTAAAATGACAGTACATTCACATTCAAAAAGTAAGCATTAAAGAGTATAGTGAGAAGCCCTCTTTCCCCTCCAAAATGAACCCATCCACCCTGTTCCCTTCCTGAGACATCCATCCTTCCTTTTAATGTTCCAGAACACTTTTAAAAGGTTAATGCAGAAGTCCTTCAGCTGCAGAAACTTACCAGAGCTTATAAATTTCATTATGCAGCTGTAGGAATCCTACTCACCTGATTATTTCAAAACCTTCCCTCACCACCTCCTCCCCTGTAAATAAAACAATTTTGTTCACTCGATTCCTGTATGCTCAAGAACTGTATTGTATTTCATATAAACAATACTCACTAATATTTAATTTCACACGAATGAATTATCAGTTCAACTCTTAGGGGCAACATCTGCGAAGAGTAACACCCCCCACAAGAAATTCATGCATTTCAAAATCAGCTAAATGTAGAAATTTCCAAATGTGCATCACTCAAATCAAATCATCTCTGCATATCGATCACCTCTAGTACCTGTTCTGTTGTTTGTTTTTTTTTTAAAACCAAGAATCCTACATGCCACTCTAAATAGAGATCCCAAATGGCAAAAATACTCATTTTTATCCGATATTATAAACGAATTCTTATTCACACAAATAACTGGTATGAACTTTTAAAGAGAAAAGAAACTTGGTTTGAATCGTTGGTCTGTCACTCACTGACTACCTAATTTAAGCAAATTACCTGACTGCTGTGACTAACTATAAAATACAACAGAGGTGCTTATACTTCACTGGACCGTTTTAAGAATCATTCAGTGCTTGGTCTGTGGCATGGTAACCACTCAGTCAACAGTGGCCATTGTTATTACATTTTAAGGGGCCCTGTGGAACTAGCAAAATGTACCACTAACAAGATAACTGAACCCTAAGGACAGGAAAGTATCCTGAGTCTTAAAAGGAAATAAACATTGTCACAAGTTCTCACATTTCTTTAGAAACTGTCTAAAGCAGAGAAAAGAGGTTTTTTTTGGAAAAGTTTGCTGTAATATATGCATTATTAGCTAGACGATTTAAAAATACTGGTCTAGTAGCCCTGAAAGTAGGCTCCAAAAACGGGGGTGGGGGGGTGTAGTTAAGAGACGTTTTGAAGATCCACCATTTTCTTAAAAAACAAAAAAACACCAACCTAAGAAATAGCTGCTTCCTATAAAAGAGGTTAAGAACAAAATAGGAGAAAAGTGGAGATCTAACACATATTACTTCCTCATGAAAAATTTAAGAACTTTGCAAAGTCAATCTGTTGTTGAAGCCTTGGCTGGGCAGCTCAGCTGGTTAGAGCATCGCCCCAATTCGCCAAGGTTGCGGATTCTATTTCTGATCAGGGAACATACAAGAATCAACCAGGGAATGCATAAATAAATGGAATAACAAAAAACCCCACAAAAACCACAAAACATTAATATGCTTTTTATAACAGCACATTTTATCAATGTGAAGATACTGTTTTGGGAACAAATACGAAAGTTGAAAATATTTTACTACAAGAACTTGCAAGCAAACTAATTTTGACTTTCTGATCAGTGTATACCAATTAGACCTATATAAAAACAACAAATAAAAGTACTGCTATTAAAAAAAAACCCCAAAACACAATAATAAATTGGGGAAAACTTAACCAGACTGGGGGGGGGGGGGGGACTCTTTAAGAGGGCAATTCTCCATCCCATGTGCACTGAGAAGGCACACAAAAAAAGAAAGCACATTTGTCCCCACTGGTGTGGCTCAGTGATAGGTATTGTCGATTCCCAGGCAGGGGACATGCCTGGGTTGTGACAGGCCAGGTATGACTTGTGGGTTGGGGGCATGCAAGAGGCAGCCTTCTGAAGTATCTCTCACACATCTAGTCTCCCTCCCTTCCTCTCTCTAAAAATAAATAAATCCATTAAATAGAAGCACTCTATTATTTCCTCAAAACCCCAAATCTGAGTCTAGAATTCCACTTAGAAGACAAAACCAAGACAAACTCTAAATCTAAAGGCATACAAAAAGACAATCTGCTTTAGTATCTTAATAAAGCTGTTTCAGAAACTACCTAAATAGTTTCTTCTTATTCAGAATAATCTAGCTCACCCTTTCTTTGCAACAGCATTATGACTAATCACAATTGTTAAGATTTCCAGGTGTTAGCACCAATTAAAAATACCAGCAGTTGAAACATTAGGACAACTTCAGTCCATTTTGTATGAGACTTTAGTTTGTCAGAAAAAGCATCTAAGAGAAAATTCCTTCACAGCAGAGATTATACCATCTTTTGAAGTTTAATGTGTAATGGATTTGATGCATCAATAACTTTCTAAATGACAGCCCGTTGGTTCTAAAAATGAGAATTCCAAATTTTGGCAAAAAAAAAATAGATTTTTAACTAAAATGGAAATTTTAAATTATCCCCTCTTCCGATGTGCTTACCCATTTTAAGTTAAAGACAGACACACCACTAATACCTAAAGGACTACAATGAGTTCTTTTCTAGAGCAAAGTTACCCCATTCAGCTGCTTGTTTACTATGAGACCACCAAAAAAAGAACACAGTTGTTAAAAATATAAAGGCAATTACATGGATTTCCAGATTATAATGCAGATGAGGGCAGAGAAAAATATTTCTAAGGCAATCCATTTAGGAAAGCTGTTACATCATATATGTACTACCTTGTAAGTAAACTCCGGCCTGTCTTTTAAAGCTGGAAATGTAGGTATAAGACTTCTTGTAAAGATTCATATGCATTATTGGAACCTGTTATTCTGAGGCCTTGCTTGTCCCTTTCCTACTGCCGCCCTCGGTGGAAATTCCCACCCAATTCTGCTGTGTTCTAAGGACGAAAAATCACACCGTATGGACTGCACTTTCAGTTTGTCTTGCTGTTGAGCAGGGCTATGTTTTTGGTGAAAAGACAGTCCTAGATTACGAGAGTCCTAGATTAAATAAAGAACACGCTTAGCTACAAACAACAACAAACCCCAATTGTATTTTAAAGTATTTTATACAGCCTAATGCAAAAGAATCTTCGCACAGTAACTCAATTCCTACATTCACATTTTTGTCACCACTGGTTGTTTAACCTTTTCCCAAATGTAAAACACCTACTCCAATTCTAACTCAGTATGTGCCAAACTATACAGAACCACTGCTAAACCACCCACCCCGCCCCAAAGTTCAATAAACTGTATCACTAAGTTCACTGGGCCCAGACGGCCTATTTGAAATATGCGCATTTCACATTCCTATTTGGTAAGTCACCCACTTTTCTGCTTACAAAACAATTACCCACAAACTCTTTACGTTTAAGGTAAGCGTGGAAAAAAAAAAAAAAACCTCTTTGGAAAATGAGTACGTACTCTTTTCGAAGTTCCAAATCTGGAATATAAGGGCCGGCTAAGCGTCCTTTATTCCTCCCCGGAGACTTTTCGCTTATCTAGCTGCCCTGGAGACCAGAGAGCTAGGGAGAGTACGCCCCTTCCCCCGCCTCCCCGTCCGGCAGCCAAGCCTGGCTTAAAAGCCTTAGCCACCGGGCGGCGGAGTTACAAAGGAGAACCTCTGCCTGCCTCCTTTGTCCTGGATTTGGGAGTTGAGCGCCTTCGTCGCCATTGGCTTTCCTCCCCCAGCTCCAGCCTCTCTCATCTTGAGAATCTGCGTCAGAAGTCACTGGTAGTCCCGCCAGCCCAGGTAGCCCTGACGAGACTGCGAAGGATGGGAGGCCGCGGTGGGAGGCCAGGCCCATCCAGCGCCATTTCCATCGGGAGCGCGCCCGTCAGCCCAGATCCTCCCCCCACCCTCGCCCAACTGCCCAGCGGTTCCCAGTTCGCTTCGTTCCCCACCCTCATCCCCTCCAGGGCGCTCTGACCACCTTCCAGGCTTCTAAATCAGTTTCGGAAACTGAGGAGCAAAAAGTAGAAAGAGAGGAAGGGCGGGAAGCCGAGGCGGCCGCGCCACCGTACCCAAAATGGCGGAGGCCAAACCAGCAGGGAAAGGAGAAATGCTGGATGACCCCCATTTCGGGCCTCGGCTTCATTCACTGAATTCCACATTAGCAAAACCTCCCCCCGACATGCCTCCCCGCCTTGAAGTGGGAGATCGCCTGGGAGGCGTAGCCTGGCCGCTTCCAAGCAGCGACCTCCACACTTCCCCCCCACCCCCTCCCAGTCTCTTTCGTCCTTCTCCCGACTCCGCTCACGAAACCACCAGCCCAACCTACCCCCTTTTACTTCAGATACCCTGTCAAACGACAGCAGAGCCGACTCCAATGCTTGCGGGGTCCGGTGGAGAGGAAGAAGCCGCTCGCCTAATGTAGAGCTCCCCACAACGGTTCTTCCAACCGTCTCCGGCGGAGGGAACCGCTCAGGGAGCTGCGCAGCAGAGCGAATGGCTTGGGGGGATGGGAGAGAGCGAGCGAGGAGGGGGTGGGTGGAGCGAGAGCAGCGAGAATCCACCGCCCCCGTTCTCGCGAGACGAGAGAGTCGAAGCCACTTTGGCGCGGGCGACGAGTAGCACTCTAGCGTGCTAGTAGGCTGACCAGTTGGTGGAGAGAAGGTTAGGCAAGTCCAGTTAGAGGAAAAGGCGGAGAGTTCCTCCCTCCTTGCCTACTATACAGCCATCGAATTCCCAGAGCCCACATTCTGGCCTCTTTTGGAGGGTGAGTGGTAATAGCGGTTCTGCCAAGGTGTTTGGAGGAATACTGGTGTCACAGTTTGGGAGAGTTCTCTGGTACTCTGCCCCACCACGAACAAATTCCATAAAAGCCCGCCCTTACCGTAGCGTCACCTGCGTGGAAAAGGCGCCACGCGGTTTTGCCACCAAACAGGGAGCATTTTCCTTGTCCACCATGTTTGCAATATGCGGTAAATATAGGAGTTTTTCAACGCTGGGGAGAGTCAAAGTGTCCACTAGCCCCAATTTTGGCCCCTGGCACCTCCTTCCTTTCGCCCTGGCGCTGCCGCACCGTTGTCCACCAGTGGGCCTCGTCGCAGGGGTGGGAGTCGGGAGGGGCTTCTTGATTGATTTCCTCCGTACCCGCGTTCACTTGCAAATACGTAGCTCGCTCTCTGCCCTCGCCTTCGCTTTCCTCTTGCTTTTCATCTCTCGCACTTTGTAACCTGAGTGACCGATTAGCCCCTCAAGGCCGGCTTTGGCTCGTTTTCTAACCAGAGCTTTGCATCCTTGAAAATTCCAAGTACAAGTGACACCGAATAAGTACTTGTTGGTTGTACTCTCACAGCACCAAGGTTCCTAGCGACACCTAATGGCTTTCTATTTTTAATTAGAAAAATGCAAGCTGAATTTCTGCGAAGGGTGGAGGGCAATCCTGGTAAAGAGATTAATGCAAGGTCCAGAAGTAGGAAGGGACAGGAAGTGAGACGGAGAGAACGAGATGAGTTTGAGCGCACGATTGTTTCTGTAGGAAAGGTCGGTGAAATTAGCTTGTATAGAACGTCAGTATCCACTCAGACTTTGTAGTAAGGGCATTGGGAAACGTAGAGGGTGGGATTGGGGGCGCAAGGGGTGCTTACAGTGAAGAAGCTTGCACGTTCCCCCCATGAGATCTCTGTGTAGAATGGACACAGGAAGCCAGTTACCTTCAGTTTCCTTAAATTTCATGGCTAGTTACCTTACACATATTTCATGGCGCCACGTGGTTCTGTTTAAGCCTGCTTCATCCTCAAACCTGCTTAAGACAAGTGTGGGACAGCACCCTCCACTCCTCTCCCCCTGTCTGGCATGCAGAACCAGGGGTTAACCTTTACCCTTCTCTCCTAAGCTTCAAGGGCCCCTCCTTTTCCCTGGGTAACTTGTTTCCTGAGGCCTATTTCCTCGATGGCTCATATCTTTTACCTCTGTGATTTTTTAAATAAACTTTCTCTTATAGTCTGGGGGGCGGGGTGGGGGAAGCCAAGTGCAGGGAACTAAGAATTGGTTAAGCCGTAGTCCTGTAGTGCCTTTCTTGAGCCCACTCCTTTAAAATACCCCTCAGAAAAGGAGAAAGTTACTGTGGTCATTACTAGAGACAGAAACAAAACCAAGATAATGTATTAATAATAGCTCACATTTATTGAGAACTCTCTTGAGCTAGGTGCTGTGCTCAATTCACTGACTCTTTACAACTATGAAATACAGTTGAAATAATTTATAATAATAATAAATTATTCCCAATTTACAGAAAAGGTGCCTGAGATCTAGAAAAGTGAAAAAAAAAATGCCCAAGGTCACACACCTAGTGGCAGAAACTAGGATTTTGAACTCAAATGATTTCACACCAGTGGCCACGGCTTTAAACATACATCATTTTAGGCAAACTTAAGTTACTTCCCCGGAACAAACACTGAAATTACCACCTCCGGAAAACTGCAGTTAACAATTTATTGGCTGGAGACTTTTGAACAGGCCGGAAACTTGATGTTCTGGTGTTGCTGACACTGTTAGCACCGCCGACCCCTTCTTTTTAAAATAGTGTCCTATTGGTAAGACTCCGAAATTTCATACTTCAGATGGAGTTCTTTCTTCGTTTCAAGTCATTTCCCCACTTTATCCTTTTAGTCTTTCCACCCGATTTGGTAGATGGAATTCTGTAATTATTTTCACCCCTTGCCTGAATCCATACAATTTATTTACTGCTTGATTGAGTTTGGCATTCTTTCCACATACCTACTTACTTTGTGTGGTTATAGGCCACAAACCTAAAGGCATTGTAATGACTTTTTACTACCACACCTTGATGTTTTCTTTGGCCATTTCTTTGTATTGTGCACTATGCTGTTTGCCATTGTGAATGCTTAGAAAAAACTTGAAATTAGTACATATATTCCTTTTGCTTTTTTATCATTATAGCAAGTAGGAAGTTTTAAGTTTTTAAAAAAGTACATTATGTAGGGGAAAATCTGATTTTTATTTGACTACTTTACCATTTTTCTTAAAAAAAAAAAGTCTATCAGCTATTTCTATTTGCAAGTTGGATCCTGCAAGTAAAGGTTAGTGAGACAGGCTTACCACTGCTCCTGTAATCCCTACAGAATTGTTTCCAGATGGATCTCTGTGGAATTGTTTCCATAGAGATGGTTAGAGCTAAGGGCTCCCAGCTGCTTATGGGATTTTTTTTTCCTCTTTTGTCTTCCATTCAGTCACTTCAGTGCTTTCCTATTAGCATAGAGATCAGAGGGACCCTGGAGAGGATCTTGTTAGAGGCCATAAGGATAGAAAAGATGAAAAGGGAGAAGGAAATAGAAGTACCCACACCACCCAAGGGAAAACAAGACAACGAACACGTGATCATGTATTACATCAAGAGGAGAGGAGAGGAAAATTCCATGCAGAGCCTGAGAAAGAGAAATACAGAAATCGAAAGAGATTGCACTTTTAGGGGAGGGAAGGCATATTAACTAAAAATTGGTTAAGATAGTTGTTCACATACTCCCTGATGACATTCTACCATAAAAACTGGATTATCATAATCTTTTTGCCTATACAAAAAACATATAAGCTAAACATAGCAAAACTTATAAACAAGTTTCTAGGAGTGTGTCTAAGGTAGTTAATGCCTTTTGAACGCTAAATCTGTTTTACTAATGTTTTTTGAAATGCTTGTTCTTGGATTTATATCATATATATGAGGTCTGTTCAGAAAGTATCCAGCCAGGTAATATGAAAAATAAAGACATTTATTGAAGAAGATACAAGAAACACTGTACATAGGACAATGACACCTCAGTCCTTTTTTCTTTTCAAAGTAGGCACCTTGGGACCTCATACAGTTCTTCCAATTGCCGTCAGCTGCTCTGTTGTATTTTCCTGAATCTCATCAATGGTCTGAAATCTCTTCCCTTTCAAAGATGATTTTAGTTTTTGGGAAAGCCAGAAGTTGCAGGGCACCAAATCTGGGCTGTAGGTGGGCTGAGTCATCTGGGTGATTTGATGTTTTGCCAAAAAACTGCATGAGACATGATGCACAAGTGGGTGCGTTGTTGTGATGAAGCTTCGAGTCACCAGTTGCTCGTAGCTGTGGCCTTCTAAATCATCCTAATATTTTTCCCAGAGGAACATGCAATTTTAATGCAAAATTTGATGCAGGTTTGTTGCTCTGCTGGCCCAGTCTTTTTGCATGCAGCAGCCACACTGTACACATGCTCACTCAACTGGTGTCTACAGTGAAGTCATAGTTCACACATGGGTATTCTAGTCCACTCTCCTCGGCCGCCAGGCTACATCGATATCAAACAAACTGTTCTCTTTATTTTAACAATGGCTGGACTTCTTCTGGACAGACCTCATATCTACTATCTTTAGAAGTGATCTTCCTTGTGATGCTTCAAAATTATTTCTCAAAACAAGGCTTAATTACACAGTTAACATTCTTAATACTTTTTTATTTCTTTAAGTCATATTAAGAGGTCATCTGAGACTAGGGAAATTCAAAGGTTTCATCCAATTTTAATAATTATACACTAAGCAAATTTAAAAGGAAGTCTAAAAGAAATGTAAAAGGAAGAAAGCAGCTAACACACCCTTTCTCTAATTTTTGAAAATAATTAAAATTATTGAACATTCTCTCTGTTCCAGTGGACTGATGTGAAGAACAAGGAAAACAGCTACAAAGAATAGCTACTTAAGGAATTGAAATCAAATTATTGTGCTGCTTTCAATGTGTCATAAGCACATTAATAACTTAGAAAACAGCA